CTGGCAATACAGAAAGGCTGCTCTTCATAGAGGACTCGCGCTCCGGGAGACGTTTTCTCGTGGACTCTGGCTCCCAGAAAAGCCTCCTTCCCCCTACCGCTGCTGACAGACTAGCAGCGAACTGTGGGCCGCAGCTCATTGCAGCTAATGGCTCTCCTATCACAACGTTTGGGGAAAAGTTGGTGACTGTTTGTTTTCATGGTCGGGATTTCCAGTGGAACTTTGTTGTTGCCACTAGCTCTGTACCTATTTTAGGTGCTGATTTTCTGTGTGCTCATGGACTGCTTGTCGATGTTGCTAACAGACGTTTAATTGATGCTCTCTCGTTTTCGTCGCTACCCTGTTTTACTCGGGCCGCCGAGCCCCTGATTCGGGCTAATGTAGTGACCTCCGGGGATGCTTTTCAGCGTTTGCTTTTAGAGTTTCCATAGCTGTCTGTCCCTAATTTCTCTAGCACAGTAACGAAGCACGGTCCCACGGTGTTCGCATGTGCGCACCGCTTCGACCCTGCGACACTGTCCGTCACTCGGGAAGAGTTTATAGCCATGGAGCGCCTTGGCATTGTACAGCGTTTAAACAGTGCATTGGCCTCTCTGCTTCACATGGTGCCCAAATCGGATGGTCGGTGGCGGCCATGCGGAGATTTCCGCCGTTTAAATAATGCCATGGAGAATGACCGTTACCCCATTCCCCACATTCAGGATTTTTCGGCCAATCTCGCCGGAACCTCGATTTTTTTCTAAAATTGACTTGGTGCGGGGGTATCACCAGGTTCCCGTGCGCGCCGAAGACGTTCCTAAAACCGCTGTCATTACCCCCTTCGGCTTGTTCGAGTTTTTGCGCATGCCGTTTGGCCTGAAAGGTGCCGCCCACTTTCATCGGCTGATGGACTCCGTTTTGCGCGGGCTGCCGTTCGTTTTTATTTACCTGGATGATATATTGGTGGCCAGCTGCTCAGCGAGCCAGCACGAGTCCCATCTGCGCCAGGTTTTCCAGCGTTTGGCAGCGCACGGCCTGATCATCAACCCTTCCAAGTGCCAGTTTGGGTTGCCTGTTCTGGATTTCCTCGGGCACCACATTTCCACTGAAGGTGTGGTTCCATTGCCCGACAGAGTCCGGGCCGTTTCGGCTTTTCCGCATCCCACGTCGGTTAAAGCGTTGCAGGAGTTCTTGGAGATGATAAATTTTTACAACCGCTTTCTCCCCAGAGCTGCCCACCTGCTCTATGCTGCCTTAAAAGGTAAAACAGACAAAGATCCCGTTGACTGGCTGCCGAACGCGTCCAGGCGTTTTCCGCAGCCAAGTCTGCGCTGGCTGACGCCGCCCTTCTGGCCCACGCCGCCCTTCTGGCCCACGCCGCCCTTCTGGCCCACGCCGCCCTGCTAGCCCACCCATTTCCGTCGGCGGAGATCGCGTTGACCACCGACGCGTCTGACGTGGCAGTGGGTGCCGTGTTGGAACAGCGAGTTTCAGGTCTCTGGCAACCGCTCGCCTTTTTCAGTCGTACGCTCCGGGATGCCGAACACAAGTACAGTGTTTTCGACAGGAAGTTGCTGGCCCTGCACCTCGCGACACGACATTTTCATTTTTTCCTCAATGTCGCAACTTTACTGCATACGTCTACCACAAACCTTTGACGTTTGCCATGTCCAAGGTCTTTGACCCATGGAGCGCACGCCAGCAGCGGCAGTTGGCGGCCATTTCAGAGTTTACCACAGACATTCAGCATGTGGCTGGTAAGTCCAATCACGTCGCTGACTGTCTCTCACGCGTGTTGGTTTCTCCGGTGTATGTCGGCGTGGACTACGCTGCCATGAGCAACATGCTGACCCGGACGTCCTTGCCCTTCAGTCAACAAAAACTGGCCACGTGCTGGAGGACACCCCTGTGTGGGACGGCGGTCCGCACCTGCTTTGCGACGTTTCCTTTTTTTTTTTTGTCTGTCCCATTTGGTTCTTTAGCCATCAGAATTGTTGTCTGAAGACCAACAAGGATACCCAATGGATTTA